ACAACAGTTTACTGAAATACTCCACCTGCTCTGTAGAACTAGTTCTACTGAGAATAAAGGGGAAGTTTCCTGTTTGGGGTTTAGAGAAACTTACCAAAAAAAAAAAAGTTATCATTAAAAGTTTGATTTTTGTAACTGTCAGAAAGTAGAGAGCATCTATGTTGAGTGCAAATGCTTTGAGGCACCTTCTCTGTCCATTCAGGACTCAGGGAACATCTATCGACTCAGGACCAGCTGTGTTCCCTGGATTTGACCCTCAGTACATATAGGGCTCATTGATCCTTTTGTCCTTCTCTACATGTGGTCATGCACTTGAATCACTTGTGGAGCACAGTAAGAGTTAACTAAGGTGATAAAATGAGTCATTAGGTGAAGCATCATAAAGCCCTAAGCCAATGAGAAAACTGGAAAACCCAGTACTTCCTTAATAAAGAGACCATAAAAGCAGTGTTCTTCTGGTTTTCTCCACTCCCTCCATTTGGATGGAATCATGTGACTGAAAACCAGTCCTCTACCTGAATCACACAATGATAACTTGCTGTTAAAATGTTTTTTGTTTGTTTGTTTGTTTTTATTTTTAAGCTAGGATATAGGATGAGTCATGATGTGATTCTTAAAACAAGGGTTGCCCCAGCCTTGATCCATACATTTTTCTATCTGTTCATGAGAAAGCAGAGGTAAAGCCTTTATGAAATGGTTTGGCATGCTCTGTTTTCTGAGGGAGGATATGGTAAAGGTAAACATGGTGCAATAAACTCAGACTTCTGAGTCATAGATGTTCACACTACCCTTCTGCAAGAATGGAACTACCCACTTTCCTGAGTATCCATGACTTCTTAACTGAGTGCCTCATGTAGTCGCTGGTGGGTGATGCATAATTGCACACTTTTGGCAATTTCTGTGTATGCAGCTCTAGTTAGGGTATAGCATACCTAAATGGTGACTATTTCCACTCCCCTGACTCTCACCCACCACCCTCGTCCACCCATTCCACCCCACTCTCAATCTCTTCTCTCTTTCTCTCTTTTTTAAAATTGTGATTTGAGTGAAAGTTTACAGAGAAAAAATGGTTAAATGGTTTTCCATACAACAATCCATGCACATTCTATTTTGTGACATTTTTGCAAACCCCACACTATAACAGCATTCTTCCCACTTCTTCCCTGTGCCCACCCCTTCCATTTGGTTTTCTTTCTCATCCCCTCCCATCTTCCTAGCTCTGTCCCTGAGCAAATGCTGTCCTTTGATTGTATATGCTTGATTGTTCTAATGAGGGCATACCCTCCTGATATTACTATTTGCCTTATAGCCCCATCCTTTGGCTACCAGATGAGTTACGGGGGTTAAGTTCAGTTCCTAGCTTGAAGGGACATAGTCTCTGGGTTCCACTAGTCTTCATTAGACTAGTAAGCCTGGTCTATTTTTTTTTCTTCCTTATTTATGATTTTGAGCCCCCCCAATCTCTCCCCATTTTATCTAGGACCTTTTATTGTGATCCCATTCAGAGGGGTTACCAGTGGTAGCTGGGCACCATCTAGTTCTGCTCTTGGTCATGGAGGCTGGGTTTCACATGCCCCATTAGTCCTTTGGAGTAATTGTTTCCTGCATTTTTAATTTTCTTCACTCTTCTTTGCTCTGGATGAGTAGAGACTAATGGTTGCTCCTTAGATGGGTGCTCACAAGCTTTTAAGACCCAAGTTGCCACTCACCAGAGTGGGATATAGGAAATTGTCTTCATGGACTATGTTATACCAATTGACTTTCGTGTCCTCCAAGACGATGTTGCTGAGCCTCCATGCCCAGGGACTTTCCCTCGTGGTGTTTGGTTATGACTAAAAAGCTTTCATAACTTTCTCTCCTGTGTGCCCTACTACATTCGTGGAAATATTTGCAGTGTATATAATACATAGGTAGAGATACCCTGTCAAACCTGTATGTGTTCATGGGTGACTGTTTCTGACTTGCAGAGCTCGCCTGGCATGTGGTGAGCACTGGTACAGTGGCTTGCTCTGGCACCAATGAGGCTCCATGTCTCCTCGGTCAGGGAGGAGAATGTCAAGAGGAAAGGCCTGAGCACTCAGTTAAACTTGGATGCTTTTAGTGCGATCTCTCGCTGTTCCCAATACTACTGACCTAATACTATTGACATCATGTGAGTTTCTATTTTTGTGGCAGCAGTCTGATTCCAGGATTTTGGAAGGAGCTTCGTTTTCTATGTTAGTGTGCTATTTCAGAGGGGTGTGCCAGACTGAATGTGAGGTGAAAACCGTTTTTCTATCTTTCCTACTTTATTCTATTCCAACCGCAGAGGATGTTAGGATCCCACAGTACATTGTCGCTCTGAAGTTTGAGTGAGGTCTCATGTCTTCAAACTAGTCTCATTTACCAAAAAAAAAAAAAAAAAAAAAAACCCTCACTGCCATTGAGTTCATTCGACTCATAGTGACCTCTCCTTGGGTTTCCGAGGCAATTTGACTGCTAACCAGAAGGCTGGCGGTTCAAACCCACCAGCCACTCCTTGGAAGGAAGATTGGGTAATCTACTTCTGTAGTGATACCACCTTGGAAACCCAAGGAGGGTTCACTATGAGTCAGATACAACTTGAAGGCAGTGAGTTTAGTGAGTATATCTACGGAAGTAGATTGTCCAATCTTCCTTCCAAGG